TCCACATTATTACTTTTTAAAATTATTATTATAGCCATTTCAGTGGGTGTGAAGTGGGATCTCACTGGGTTTTTGATTTGCGTTTCCTTGGCAGCTAATGACATTAAGTATCTTTTCATTGCCCTACGAATCCTCTGGAGAAATAATCTCCTCAGATTAAATCTTTTCCCTATTTTTATTTTTATTTTTTTCCTATTTTTAAATCTTGGTTCTGTTCTTCACCTTAACCGAAGTTCTTAGTAGATTAGCCTCTACAAGTCATCTATACTTCCTTACCTTCTTTCACTCATCAAACTATTCCAATCTCATTTTTTGTGGGGGGGTAAAGGGGTTCAAACTCGGGACCTTGTGCTTGCAAGGCAGGTAGTCCAATCTCATTTTTGTTTCCTACTCCTCTGAAATTGCTTGTCAAAATCATTAACTACCTATATCCTAACAAAATCAATGGCTATTCTTCAGTTATCATCTTCCAGCATATAATTTTATGGTTTGCACATTTAATTTTTAATTCCAAATAATCACTTATTCTAATCTATTTCACTTTGTCCTGCTTTACCTTGTCCTGTTTTGTTTTCTATTTTATTGAACATTTTCCTATGAAATAAGAAATGCATCTGGGCATGGTGGTGTACTCTGGGAGGCTGAGGCAGGAGGATCACTGTGAGATTAAAGTAGCCTAGGCTAGTGAGTTCAAGGTCAGCTTGTGCTACATGGCAAGACCCTGTCTCCAAAAAAAGTAAGCCAACAAAGAGAATATCCAGAGAAGTGCAATTTATACAACTGGTGAGCAGAGTGAATACAACAGAATCAATAGGAGCGTGGGGAGTAAGATGGGGAAGATAAGGAAGTACTGGCTAGACAGTAGGTTTTGGACTCGGGATTCAGATATTTTCAGCAGATAATACACAATCATTAAAGTTTTTATACAACAAATAATCTGCGGTAGGCTGCTACAGGTTGTTCTGTAGCAGGTATAAAATTATGTGTGGGCAAGGGCTAAGTGTTAGAAAAATAGGAGGCAATGACACATGTAGGATGTTCATTATAGTAGTAAAGACAGGCTGGGTTCAGTGGCACACTTGCATAATCCCTGCTACTCAGAAGGCTGAGGCAGGAGGATCGAAAATTTGAGGGCAGCATGGGCAAATTAGTGAGACTGTCTCAAATTTTAATAATTAAAAGGCTGGGGATATAGCCCAGTGGTAGAGTACCAGTACTTGGGGGGGAAAAAACGTGAAAAATAGTCAAAATTGAGAACATAAAATAGCTAAAAATGGGAAGGTAGGATCAATGTTAATATATTATCACTAAACTTCAACCATTTGAGTTAACTTATTATGAATAACAGAACTAATAGCTATTCTAAACTGGGCAGAAAGCTTGAGGCAAGAGGATCCCCTGTGTTCGGGAATTCAAGGCCAGGCTGGGCAACATAGTAGGATCTCATCTCAAAAAAAAAAAAAAAAAAAAAAAAAAAAAAAAAAATGCTGACCCAAGAAGAGATTTTATACTTAAGTGTTCTTAGTATTCCGTTTTATTACATTTTATTTGCTGGAAACTAGATAGAAGTGTAATAAATACACACAGAAATTCTCTCATATGTATGAACGATTACAGTGTCATCTCCTGCACTCCTCTTTCCTAAGCAGCACCTTTGACAATCTTAGGTAACTGAAGCTTCTCAAAGAGTAACGATCTGGTGGTACCTGGTGGTCAGTCCTACTTTCATCACTGCCTCAGCCCCCACAGGTCTTCACTATATTAATGGCAAGAAAAACTGGAAATCTATGTAAAATAGGTGGGAAAGACGAACTCTCCCAAGTCAAACTCTGCCCCTTTTCTTTTTTCCAAAGGAAATGGTTGTTGATGCTATGAGGAGTTAAACTGTAATAACACATGCCAGGGAGATGATGTCAGGGAAGGCATGGGAAGGCCCTTTCCAAGTATGAAATTCCTTTTCAGTCCCAAATGTTTCCTCTTTCAGTCTCACCTACACTCAATCTCACTACCGAGGCAATTCCTCCAAATATTTCAGAAACAAAGCTGAGACCATAGAATTAATCTTTCTGTGTCAGCCTTTTTATTAACTAACCAAGAGTAACCGAAGGCCAATAGAACTAATATTTCTTAGAAGTACCTTAAATTATTGTGGAGAATTCCTTTTTTAAACCCATATTTCCCTCTTCTGTAGCTATTTTCATTCCAAAGAAATGAATGGAAATTTAACACTACATCCCAAGAAAGAGTCTGTCTTTATTAGGCATTATACATTTGTTGACTGCATTCCTATATTTATCACCAGCCAAAAAAAGAATTAGAAAACTAGGATCATCACGAGCCTCTCAGCATCTTTCCCCAGATGTGAAGTATATATTTCAAAGTGAAATATTCCTACTTTTTAAAGTAAATAAAATTAATATACTTTAATATAAGCAAGTCACAATAGTGGAGTACAGTTTTTCTAACATGTCACCAGCAATTATTTTTTATCCCCAAAACTAGAGGGAATTTACAGCCAACAGTAAATTTTGAAGTAAAAATTCTCCTTAAAGAAAGTAGCAGATATTTTGATTGTTTTATTTTAGTTTCCCCCTAAGGGGAAAGATGATGCTGAGGATCGAATCCACAGCCTGGTGCATACTAAGCACAAGCTCTACCACTAAGCTACACCTCCAGCTCTATTTCCATTTTTTAAACATTTTGGACAGATCCAAGATTGTTATTACACAGATTTGTTCTACTTGAGAAACGGAGATCTTTTTTCAGAATGCGTGCGTGCGTGTGTGTGTGTGTGTGTGTGTGTGTGCATGTGTGTGTCTGTAGGGACTGAAGAGCGGCCTTTATACTGAGCTACTTCCCCAGCCCTTTTTATTTTTAATTTTAAAACACAGTCTTGCTAAGTGGATAAACTGCTAGAAGGCTGAAACTGAGATCACAATAGAAATGGCAAATTAGCTACTGTTACAATTAAAACTCCATCTTGGCATTTTAAAAAAGCTTGTAAGGGCACAGGTACAAAACTATTACTAGTCATTGTCCCTGAGGAGTAGGATCTGAGTAAAGAACTACAGAACGCAAAGGGAACTTCATTTTCTACACTTCTTTATGCTTAATTTTTAAAAACTGCTATATCTTACATTTATCACTAAAAAACTAATGGAAGTCATTTAAAAATTTTAGCCTTAGGTTTAAAAATGCACAAATTACATACATAATTACATTCAAAATACTCTTCTCCAGAGAAACAAATAGATTAAGTCCTTTGTGTCAATGTCAAAACAAAGAACATTGCAATAATGCATTCCAGCCTGTGTACACACACGGGTCACATACACAGCCACAGAGCGATGCATATACACAGCATCCTCAGATGTAATACTGACCTATAAGAACTCAAAGAATCCTTAATATACCAGTACTTTTATATCTACTTCCTCTCTTACCCTACCTATTGCTCCCAACATTTCCAGAATTGCTTCTCAAACTTTACAAGCTATGAGGAAAATATATGAGACTTGAATCCAAATCTACAGCCGTATCATTCATCCCTGATACTGTACTAGATTTAGAGGTTGGTTCAGTGCTTCCCATACTGAGAGAGGTGAGGAAGTAGAAAGCTGAGAAAAGAGATTTTTAGGTATTTTCAAATACATGAAACCCCAAAATAGGGAAAAACTAATCTGGAAGATTTGTTTTACTTTATTTTAATGGGTTCTGGGTCTAAGAAAGCTAGAGGGAAACAATAAAGAAGGGAACCTATATGGTACAGTAACCTAGATTTGAAGAGTAAAGAGAGATCAAATAGTCCCCTTTCAAATATAAAAATATAACGTATAATATATAATGTGATAATATATACACTATATTTGATAGGGGATATCAGTGCAAGTACATATATACACATATTAATAACCAACAAATATATATATATGAATCTTTAGTCCTTAAGGATATGGAAAGAAGAGCATGCAAGCTAACATCCATAAACTAACACTAACTGGTGTTGTGGGTCTGTACACATTCACCCACTGCCCTGGTCTGATGCTTCTACTTAAATCGACCTGTAATGGTCTCTTCAGGCACATGGGAAATTGGCAGAAATCTTTCCTACCCTCTAACATTCCATTACATTAAAAAAAAAAATCCCTAAATATATATAACATGTTTTTTCTTCAAAGAACAGCTCTAATACCCACAGAGTGAACTGAGTCCTCACGCTACAGCACAAAGTTCCTCTTCGTCAGGATTTTGTGTTCTGAAATGCCAAAAACCTTCCACAGATAACGCCTGGCGAATGGGGACAGGACTGTCCATCTCTCCCTAGTCTGTCCATGTGCCCACCACAGGACAACCTTCTGGCAGCCACTCCAAGGGTCCCTGCTAAGCCTGGCGGTCTGCAGAGCTCTGAGTATCAGCTCAAAAGCAAGACCCAAAGAACCACGGAGCTTTCAGCCTTATCCCCAAGCCTGTCCCCTCTCAGGGCAGGACAGGGTGTGCTCAGTCCCAAGGAGCACACGAAGGTCCTAAGGAGCCTCGAGCTTTCACTGCCTACCCGATTCCAGCTATCTGTAGAAGGTGCTACAGACAGGAAGGAGGGTAGGGTAAGGGAGAATGCAAGCAGTTAATGAAGAAGACAAAATAATCTTTGGGGCGGGTGGGCCAGGAGACAGGGTCGGAGATGATACATTATCCCCATGGAGATGAGGACATCAGCAGGAAGTCAAACTAACTTCATTTCAAAGGATAACAAACTCGCAAGTTTGATTTGTTGTTAATTCCCCTGCCTTCTCGGGCCTCACAAAAGGAGACTGTAAATTCCTTTAACTCCAGAGCCAGGTGAGAAAAAGCACCAAAAGAAGTGGTGAAAAGGGAGAGGCACTGAGACAGGAGGGGAAGAGAGGAATCTGGTTCCCCTCTTAAAGGAGAATCTGAAAACCAAGGGCACTCCCGGATCCCCAGAAAAGGAAGTAACCGGATTCCCAAAAAAGCCGTTTCTCTACCTTCTTGTTGTTCTTGTTATAGCCAAAAGTCGAAATCCCAGGCCTGGAAGTCACTGATAGCAGCATTTTCTCTTTAATGTTAGGAAGCTGAGAGAGAGGAGGAGAAGGAAAGGGAGGGGGAAAAGGAAGGGAGAGGGGGAGAGGGAGAGAGGGAGGGAGGAAAAGAGGGAGGGAAAGGGAGAGGGAGGGGAGAGGAGAAAGGGGAGAAAGGAGCAAGAGAGAGAGGGAGAGAGAGGGAGAGGGAGAGAGAGAGGAGAGAGAGAGACGGGAGGGGGGCCCGAGGGGAAGAAAGAGCTGGGGCTGCTCCTCTACGTCACTGAGAGAAGTTAACCCAGAGTCTGAACTGCTCAGAGGTGCCTCCACTGGGTCCTAATGCCCCAAGTGTTTCGCTTGTTTGTTTTCCATAGGCTCAGTAGTTACAGCAAGAAAGAAGAGATCTTAGGTCTAACCCTTTTCAAACTCCTATCCTTTCTTCTATGAACAAGTTCTAATTCTCATGAGAAAACAATGAAGTTTTCCCTTTTCCCTTAGATTTCAGCTGTAAACATTACATTAAAGGGACCACTGAGACACTGCTTTAAAGAAGGTATGAAGAAAACCATACTGATGTAGAGTATGTAAGATGAGCTCAAGGCGTCCCCTATTTTATATTTAGGATATGAATATATATATATATATATGAATGATTAAACCCAGGGCCGCCTTTGCACTGAGCTATAGCCACAGCCCTTTTTTAAAGTTTTGAGACAGGGATTCACTGTTATTCAGGCTGGGCTTCTTGAACTTAGGATCCTCCTGCTTCTGCCTCCCAGAGTACTGGGATTACAAGTATGTGCTACTATGCCGGTTTATTAGGTGATCTTAATGAGCTAAAAAGGAATGCAGGACCACACCAAAGAACAGAGAGCCAGGCGTGGTGGTGTATGCCTGTAACCCCAGCACTTGGGAGGCTGAGGCAGGAGGATCACTGTGAGTTCGAGACCAGCCTGGGCTGCATAGTGAGTTCCAGGTAAGGCTCAACTATATAGTGAGACCCTGTCTGAAAAAAAAACAAAGCAAAACAAAAAGAACAGAGAAAATAAGAGTATGGGAAATAACTAATTTCAGACCCTCAGACAGCTGTGTTTCTCCCAGGTTACACTGATTGATACCCGACACTCCTGTTCCAGATGCTCCCAGGAAGGAGGGTATGCTTAGGAAGGCATCAGACTAGCTTACACAGTGGGCCTCGGGGCCTACGGTTTCTTTAAAAGTTTGAAGCTACATTATTTTACTCTTTATCCTACTATTGCTTAGGCTTTCAAATCCATAAAGCTGAAATAAGTATAGAAACTCACCAAACCTGGGATTTATTTCCAAACTGAGGTTCGCAGAGTTGGGATGTCTTGCATCAAGTTGTCTCTGAGATGAAAAAAAAAAACAAAAACATATCTATATATCTATATATCTATATAGATATAGATATAGATAATAAAAGCATATGCTTCACAGAGAAAAAATACATACAATTTCTTAGGAAAAACATAATTTAAGAATCAAGAACCTAACATCGTAGCAACAACACTCACCTCTAGTAGTTAAAAAGAAATGCCCTTGATGGAGAAACTTGCAGAAAACCAAAACCTTCAGAATGAAGGAATCCTGCTCCTCCAAGTAGAACAGGGATGGAGACTAAGAACCTGCAAATCCTTTCACAAGGTCATCTTGCTGCCATACAAGTATTCTCCAGACAAAAATTAACCCTGTCTGCTTTGTATACTAAACATGAAGCCCACACCCTCCCTTAAATGAAGTCCTGGCCTCTAGTCTGGCTCTTCTGCCCCTTCTTTGCTATGATAACAGGACAGACAGGGCTCGCATTCTGCAGAGTAAATATGCATGTACACAGCCACCCCCAATCTCTAACTTTTCCTATCCAAGGGGACAGGAAGTGCCTGCTCAGCTCAAGGGACACAGGAAGGGTGGGAACAGCTTCAATGGGGGAATTGCAACTGAGATTGGAAACAGTAGCCAAATACAGTAAATAAATAAATAACAGTATCTCTTAGTGTGCCCTGTTTTTTTTTTAAAGTCCCTTTTCTATCCTCGGGGACTTTCATTCATTACATATCAATTTGTCCTTGGTTGATGTCTTCTCTCTTGGCCTAAAGATATGCAGAAGGCTTACTCTGGAAGGTCTGATTCATAAGGGCAGTCTAACTTGATTTTTTTAAAAATTCTAATATAGGACCAGGGATTTAGCTCAGTGGTTCTGTCACCTGCCTTGCAGGCTCAAGGACCCAAGTTTGAGCCCTGGTACCAAAAAATTAAAAATTCTAATATGTAATTTTCCTAGCATATGTGAGGCCCTGGTTTCAAGCACCACAAAAACACCTCATTTTTCTGACAGCTGAATATTTTTTAATAATAGTCATCCTAAAGATGATTTGAAATGGTATCTTACTGTGGCCATTTGTTTTATTTTCTGGTATATTGGCAATTTAGAGCTGCATATATTCCTGTAATACTGTGATGTTATAATCCCAACTTCTTGGGAGGCTGAGGCAAGAAGACTGCAAATTTGAGCCCAGCCTGAGCAACAGAACTCTCTCTTTTTTTTTTTTTTTTTTTTAGACAGAGACTTGTTTTGTAGTCCAGACCACCCTTGAACTTGCTACGCAGCTCAGGCAGTCCTCCCAATCCTGTCTCAGCTTCTGAGACACCAGGCTTCAAATACTTTGTGTGTGGGGAGAGGGTAAGAATATCTGATATTTACTCTCTCGGTATTTCTGAAATGTACTAAATACTATATAAACTATATTCACCATGTTGTGCAATAGATCGTAAAAAAAAATTCTTACTCTTGAGATTTTGTAGTATTTGACCATCACCTTCCTTTATCTTTCCCTCTATGGGCTGGGGATTTAGCTCAGTGGTTCTGCTGCCTGCCTTGAAAGCACAAGGTCCCAAATTCAATCCCAGAACCAAAAATAAATAAATAAATAAATCTATCTTTCCCTCCTACCCTCTATAACTACTCTATTCTGTTTCTATGAGTTTATTTTAGATGCCACCTATGAGAACATGTAGTATTTTTCTTTCAATGTCTAGCTTATTTTACTTAGCACAATGTTCTCAAATTCCATCTACATAGTTGCAAAATGATAAATACATATCAATCAAATTTCAATTTTATTTTTGGCATATTAGGGGCTGAACCCAGGGTGTTTTCACTAAGCTACATCCCCAGCTCTTTTTCCTTTTTTTCTAGACACAGTCTTTTTAAGTCACCCACATAGGGCTTGAATTTGCAATGCTCCTGCCTCAGCCTCTCAGAGTGCTGGGATTACAGATGTAAGCCACTGAGCCCCATTTATATCATATTATTTTATCCATTCACTGTTAGCCATTTTAGGTTGATTCCATTTTGTTGATTGTGAACAGAGACACAATAAATGCAAATGCAAACATCTCTTCAACAAACTTAAATTTTTGCTTTTAAGACAGAGTCTTGCTGAATAGTTCAGGCTGACCAAGAACTTACTACATAGCCCAGGCTGGCCTCAAACTCACAGTGATCCTCCTGTTTCAACCTCCAGAGCGCTGGAATTACAGGTGTGTGCCACCACCCAAGCCCAGCAATTTTAAATTTTTGTAGTTTAACAGAACCAGGTATGGTGGTACACACCTATAATCCCAGCACTGTAGGAGGCTGAGGCAAGAGGATCAAAAGTTCTAGCCCAGGGCCAGGGATTTAGCTCAGTGGCACCACGCCTGCCTGGGAAGTAGAAGGTCCTGAGTTCAATCCCTGTACCAAAAAAAAAAAAAAAAAAAAAAAGTTGCAGCCAGGCCTGGGCAATTTAGTGAGACAGTGTCTAAAAAAATAAAAAGGGGATGGGTGGCTCAGGCAAGGTGGTTCATGTTTGTAATCTCAGCACCTGGGAGGCTGAGGCAGGAAGATGGTTGCAAATCTGAGGCCAGCCTGGGCTACACAGTGAGTCTGAGGCTACCCTGAACCACACAGCAAAACCTTGTCTCAAAAGCCAAACCAGAGGCCCTGGGATTTAGCTCACTGGCACAGGGCCTACCTCACATGCACAAGGTCCTGAGTTGGGTGGGAAGGACTGGGGATGTGGCTCAGAAATCAAAGACCCTGAGTTCAATCCCCAGTAACACAAAAATAAACAAATAAATAAAAAGAGTGAAATAAAAAGGAATGTAGTTTTACACCAGTGCTGCAAAACAAAGTACATATCGATGGATATCACACTGTTTTGATATATGTATACATTGGGTAATTTTTTTTTTCAGTACTAAGGATTTAATCCAGGGCCTTCCAACTGAGCTACATTCCCATCCTTGTTGCTGTTTTCTGTTTTTGTTTTTATCTTGTTTTTGGTACTGGGAATCAAACTCAGGACCTTGCTTGGCTTGCCAGGCAGGCAGCTAAACCACTGAGCTAAATCCCTGGGCCCCTTGTTGTTGCTTTTTAAACAGGTTCTCACTAAAATGTCCAGATTGGCCTCCAATTTACAATCCTCTGGCATCAGACTCCTGAGTATCTCGGATTACAGGCCTGTACCACCATCCCCAGCTAAATCAATTATATTATTCTTTAAACAAACCAGGCGTGGCAGCGCATGCCTGTAACCCCAGCCCTCAGGAGGCTGAGGCAGGAGGACTGCTGCAAGTTTGAGGCCATGCTAGCTATATAATGAGATCAAGATCAGCTTGAACTACATAGTGAGACCCTGTCTCAAAAAAAATCTATCCTTAAATATTTATCATTTCTTTCCAATAAAAACATTCATAATCCTTTCTTTTGTTTTTTAAAGATATTGCCATAGGAGAAAGGAAACATAAAATGATGATGTATTATATACTGTATATGTACTAACGCCCCACGATAAACGTACTTTATACATATACTAATAAAAGTAAAAACTAAACCAATAGCACGCCTCATGAACAAGAGAAAACAATCCTAAAATTCTTTTGGAATCAGAAGAGACCTAGAACAGCAAAAGCAATTTTGGGCAACAAAGGCAAGGCAGGAAGCATCACAATCCCCAACATGAAATTATACTACTAAGCTATGGTGATAAAGAGAGCAAAAAAACCAGAACCGAGGATCAATGGAACAGAATAGAGGATGCAGAAACAACTCCAA